TGGGCGGCAGATCTATATGGTATACCTAACAGTGCAACATAAATCAATTACGTAGGAACAACGAATTTGGCATCTAATTCTTCGCCTTTTTTTTTGGTTCCCCTTAATCATGCAGAAGTTTAAGGAAATAGAAAGAATGTCATTTCTTGCGAAGACTTGAATTCAAAACATGGAATTCATGTGTCAATATATATAAATTGTCGACTGCAAATTATTTCAAAATCACAACTGGAAGTGAGCATTTTTTTTAATTAATTTTTTTTTTTTATACTTCTTTTAGCTTTTTAAAACGGATCACGCGGAAAGAGTGGTAACGCTCGATGCTTATTCTCCAAAAGGTTTCTATTTTAAAGTCATTTTTCTGATTTTCATTTTCCCCCACAGTTGAAAATAGTGTCTGTCATCTTCGCTTCCCTCTCCCATCTCCACTGGTTTCACTTTCAACCCTCCGCCGCCAACCAACGATACCAAATACCAGCTGCCTCTTGGCTTTTTCTTCATTCCGTTAATGAATTAATTAATTAGAATTTATGTATGATAATACTGAAGGTGTAGATATTAACATTTATGCATGGTTTCCATACGAAAAGTTGGCACAAATTTGTCGGCTGCGTTGTGAAATGTATTAATGGAAATCAAAACAGATCTTCTGCAGGTTTCTGTATGTTTACTATTCTTTATATATGGTCTAAAATTGGCCGTCCAAACGGAATTAGCTCCCTTGAGTTCCTTGCTAATGTTGATGTATCACAATCCTCCAACATGCTATGGGATGGTTCTCTAGGAGAACCTGCAAGAAAAATGCTGATCAAGAAGAAGAAGAACAGCTCCCCTCAATTTGAGCTGCTTACAAGGCCCACATTTTCCGGCTCGATCGTTAAATCAGAAGGCATTCCAACCCCCTCGTCACGTAACATCCGTTGGCTTGGTCAGGAGTCCGGACGACTCTAGCAAGAAGGAAATAGAAAATAGAAATTTGGAATTTTTGATATTTTTGTGTTGGTTGGTTAAGTAGAATAATATATCGCAAATGTATTTCACTAATCACATATAAGATCATTTAATTCTTTCTGTATTTATGTACTTTCTTAAAAACTAGCCCCTCTGTCGTCTACATAGATTGTTTTTGTTATCATGTCTTTTTCTCATATGAATTTAATCTTTCTTTTTTGGTTGGCCTATATATCACTCTTGGTAATTTCGATTTGTATAACGTTAGTTCATTATGGTTCTTCAAATTTTTATCCTTGATTTAAAATTGAACCAACTAGGATACCAATTTTGAGATATAAAATCACGTCATTTCACTAAGAAAGTACATCAGATACACAAAAGTTATGATACATGTAAATTATATCTCAAATGAGACTAATTAATAATCTGGTGCTTTCTGCTTTCTAACCATCAAAATTACTAACATGGAAGCACACATATACAAGAGATGGATTACCTTAAACATACGCTTAAAAAAAATCAGGAGAAGAGGTAACAATTTCTCAACTTTAACTTAAGAAACCAAAGCTAAGTCCCAAACTAACAGCCCAGAAATAACTGAAACCCCTATAACCTTTTAATAAATGAATTCCTCAGTTTATTGAAAACATTTTAACTGAAGAACAGCTACTTAGACTACAACATGCATTCATTAACAAACACATTTTACTCATTTTATTTTTAACTTTCCTCTCATTTGATTAGTCTAACTTCAACTTGAATTCCATATTCACAACTTATTTTATATGTATTTGTTTCAGAAATTTTCTTTTCAGGTCAAAATGGAATTTTTTTGTTTAGCCAAAAATGTTTTTCATTGTTACAAAAACACAAATTTGCGGAATCATCTCCTGCAGTGACCACTTTCGCACAATCTAGTTTGGTATTATAAAGTCTATTAATTTGTTTGGCTGCTATGCAAATATTGTAGAGAAAATGGAAGCAAAAAACTAGTTCATGTGAAAACTGAAAACTTTTATTTTAAAACTTAATACTATATGAGTCCAGACTAGTCGTAAGGTGATTTTTTGTAATGTACCAAAAGAATACGGGATGGGAGTCTAACTAAACACTAATTTATAGTTCAAAGTGTTTTCCGGTCACAAGAAATTGTTATCTTTGTGTTTTATATAAATGTCCTTTAAATTTATGTCAATTTCTTTCCCTAATTTTGGGGCCAAGGCCCGGTAATTGAGCAGTTTACGTTCTTCTACAATGGTATGATTGTGTTAACACCACCATAGTCCACATAATTATATGGGTTAGTTTCAAAGAGAGAGAATTAGGGTTTCGGGAAATCTGAATCATTTCCCACACCATATATAAAAAGTGTCCGCCTCCTTTCTAGTTCGCTTAACCCTCTTCCAATTTATCACAAAAGGAGAAGAAAAACAAAAAACTTTCCATTTCCACTAGTTGAAATTCTCATCTCTTATCTTCCACCGCCAGCCTCCGTCACCAGCCACGCCCTCCAATAGCTTTTTCTGCATCCCAATTGAAGGTGGGCTACAAAGATTCTGAAAGTAGGTATGAAAGAGAGAATTATTTTTTTTTTTTATGTTTGCAGGAAAGTGAGCTGAACTTCTAACATACATGGTAAAAGAGTAATGGAAATCTTAAGCAGATTAGCCTTTTGTCGGTTTAAATCGCTCCCATTCGGACCATTCCCAAAGCTTCCTTGAGTTCCTTGCTATAGTTGGTGTATATAATTCACCAGCTTTCTTATGAAGATGTGATCTTACACTTGAACCCTCATGAGCTGGAAGGATGTCATGGTTCAGTTGAAGCCACACAAACGAACGTCCAACGTACCTCTCAGGACAATTGATATTCGGTATTTTCGTGGATGTAGTCTCCATGTGATTGAATTGTATAATATTACTAATGTATTTTCGTATTCATGGATATGATTTGATTAGTATCCCTTGCTTCGGTCGCCTAATTAGGGTTCATTTCGTTTATCATTTTACCAATAAAATGCTTTTCTTACAATAGAAAATCACATAGTGACAACAAAACTTCAGTGGTATATTTAGCAACTTTTTCTCAATTTTAACGGACGAAAAATAAGATGAGATGATTCCATTTCTTTCTCATTGCCAAACTAAATAAAAAACAGATATTTCAATTACATTCTCATTGATATACCCTTGGGCATTTCTATAATGGTATTGCTCATTGTTAGCTTCAAAAAAGACACTTTACCCAATGTCAGTCACATCTGTTAATTAATTACTTTTCAATAGGATCATAGAGAAAATTACGGATTTCATATCTCGTTTTCTTACTTTTGCTTCATTCGAGGAAGGTGAAACATAGTGCAATTTTATTTCTTCTTTAGTCGCTGGAGTACTTAATGACACGACACTTGAAGTAGTAAATCATCTTTTTATTTGAGCATTCAACTCTATTGAATTTTCAGGATTCAAAAAATTCCTCCTGGTCTTCATTTCATTTGTACGTTTGAATCATTATGTTTTTTTTATAGATACGCCAGTCCTAAATCCGTACCAACAAAAAGAGAAAAGGCCATGCATTGGGTTATTGGGTGATCCAATAGATGTAAGGGTTCAACAAAAGTTTGCGTGACAATGTGACATAATGTATCACTCCTTCCCATATACGCTAAGAATCTTCTTTGAGAGCTCCGATTAATGAAAGTTTTGTCTTCAAAGACAAAATTGGCTTTTCATTTTTATGAAAATGCAAAAAGGTGCTCAAAAGTTAGCAAATAACGTAAAACAGTCTCTTGGGCACTCTACCAGCCGATTCAATTAGTTCTTGGAATGAAAGTATTTAATCATGCGAAAATTAGAGAAACAGAAGCAAGAAAGATATGGGTCATTCAATTTGTTGGACCGATTTTAGCAAATCTAGTCCACATGAATTGGGCCGATCGAAGCAATAATAAAGGGTGCAAGGAATTATCGAACCCGCAGGAAAACTAGAGAAGAAGCAACGGATTGAGAAGTTGAATTGGAGAAGGAGTCATTGACAATGCAGTCCGTGTCAGAGAAGGATTCCAACAACAACACAAGTTCTTATCATATTCGACTTTTGTTGCATTTCAACTAGGGTTATCGAGCCATCTATAAAAGCTGCAATGAGGGAAGAAGGCAAGACACACACAATTCATCATACAACAAATCATATTTTTTCCTAGTTTTTTCTTCATAGCTTTTCGATATCTATTTTTCTTTAAGTTTTCATGTGTTCCTTTACCATTTAACATTGATCATTGTAAATCTTTCGACGTTTTTGGCTATTCATAGCTGATTCATTTCACCAAATCAATAAAGCTGGCCTTTGTTGGCCGTTTTATTCATCTCCTTTACCATTTAACATTGGTCATTGAAAATCTTTCGACGTTTTTGGCCATTCATAGCTGATTCATTTCACCAAATCAATAAAGCTGGCCTTTGTTGGCCGTTTTATTCATCTCCTTAAAGCTTTCTTAGTATTCCGTCATCAAATACTCAAATACTCAAGTTTATTGTGAGCCAAAGGTGTTGACATCCTTTGAGAATTCTAACGACTGGACTCGGGATTTTGACAATGTCATACAGTCGCTTGAAATTAGTTTGAGCTGAGTCGGTCTTCACTCAAATACAATTTTGACTTAAACATAAAATTTGGCATGCCTAGGGGGACCGATTTGCGTGTTCCAAGCATTGTTTGAATGAAAGCATGATGTCGATGCCTCAGTCGTCAACATCAATACCATTGGGGGGACAAGTATCAATGCCGATCCAGACTTCTGCACCAAGCGGGAGTTCTTTGCCAATAAATACGTCTCCGTATATTTCGGCAGTAGATTCATTTTCAATGGTGATAACGGATCAATCCACCAGTATAGGACGACAGTATAATCAGCAACAGTCAAGTGCTGGATCGAGCCTTTCCAGAGAGAGATCTAGTTATTCGAGTCTTATAGAAGTCCGAGTCTTCAGACTCCAGGGTTTCAAAGCCCATTATCCCAGACTCTGGTATTTCATAACCAAGACCAAATGGATCAGATTACACCAATGACTCCAGAGATAACGCACCAAAGGTTTTTGGCAATAGAACACCATATGGCTGCACAGGAGGAACAATTTGGAAATGCTATACAGAGGATGAGCAAACAATATATGAATTCAAGAAATGTTAGTGCTCGTGGATCAACAATAGAGGGAAATGACACAGCCACAGGAGCAGCGCATGTGGAGGTTACCTCCGGTTAATATGATGAGCAATCCACTGTATAACGCAATATTTCAAACCTCTGCAACAGAAACTCCGGTACAGTATGCCAGAATTGGGTTGAACAGTAGCGGATCACAAAACTATTGCAAATATAACAGGGCATGGGTTGAGCAGTTGGTACTACCCATTAGTCTCAAGCCAACCCGCATTCATCTCACCATCTGGGAATTTCACGTTTGATGGGCGTCAATTACCTCCGTTGTCTGCCCAATATAGTGGCCCAATAATGATGCTTAGAATACCATGGGGACAACAAGTCCCTTATCAGAATTATCATGTGGCAAGCCCAGAAACACAGCATTTAGGAGTTGTAACAAAAAATGATGTTGCAAGGAATGCACAGACGACGAATCAAGGTCAGTGGCAAAATACGACATTTCAAATACCGCCACCAGTTCAAACTCAGCAAGGACCAACAATGGTTCCACCACAAGTGATTGCTCAAGAAGATGTTCCCAGAATAACTCATGGACCACAAGGAACGCTAGGACCCTTTCTTCAAGGTCCTATTGGAGCAGGAACTAATCAAGGTCCTACTTTTGAAAACCCAGAACGCGCTGGTCAAAATGTACAAGGAAGCAATGACCGCCTTTTTATAATGTATCAAGATCGTGCTGCGCCACCAGTATCAATAGGTGCTACTATGACCACGAATTTGGCTGACGCTCATATACCTCAAGGGTCTATAGTAGTTATTGCTAATCCGAAAATTGTTCCCCCACATCCCACTTTGGAAGAAAATAGAGAGGAACAACAATAGATGGAATATGAAGCAAATCAGATTCTGAATCATAATATGGCACAGGCTGCTGGCCATCCTTATGGAAATCATAATGGCGCTAATGTTAATCTGCACAATCCGCAGCAACAACGGTTTTTTAGCCAAAGGGCTGGTCATCACCTAGTGGATCTTTGCAATGAATTTCGACAAGAACCAGATGCAACAGCAAATGTTATTCAGCAACAGGATTTTGAAGTAGGGGTTGAACAGACTTTAAATGCTGAAGAAATATTTTCAAGGATGGTAGAAGATAGGGTTCGTAAAGAGTTGGGTACAGAGATTTCAGAAGTGCCAGAGAAACCATATCCTGATTTTGTTGAATGGAAGCCATTGCCAAGAAACTTCGGGAGAGGATGAGAAACGACCTGAAGATCACATAAGTTTATTTGAATTGCAATGTGGTTCAGTAAGCAATAATGCTTTGATCAAGTTGCGTTTGTTCACTTATTCCTTGAAAAGAACAACCTTTGATTGGTATAGATCATTAGCACCATGGTCCTTTCCATCATAGGACGTTCAACAGCGAGAATTCCTCTCACACTTCTGCAGGGATACCACACGGTTGTCAATTGTTGATTTAAAGAGATTCGGCAAAAGTTTGGAGAAACAACAGAGGCATACTTAATCCGGTTCCGCAAGATGTATGCTAAAATAACTGACAAGTATGAAGAACCAACTATCGTAAAGATGGCAGTCACAGGAATTCGAGACTACAAGGTAAAATTAGCTGTTGCGCCACATTCCGCCTGAGCATTGAATCATTTGACAGATATTGTAAGAGGGTGTGAAAAAGTTATCAGGGACAAAAGAGAAAAGAATCCAGCAAAAGCAAAACAGTGGTTTAATAAGAATCCAGTAGCGGAAGTAAATCAAAACCAGTGGTTGCATGACGAATACGATGATGAGTATGACATTAATGATGCTAAAATTGTCAATGTCCGAAATTTTACTTGTGATGCATTACGCCGACCTGTAGTGCCACATTCTTTCAAAACTCCTCCACCGGTAAGAGTACCGGTAGAAACTCCAGGGCAAGCTGATGGAGCTCATATTGGACGGGGTTTATTTCTTTGACATTTCTCAGCAAGAGGCCATCATTGATGATATGTTTAAGAAATGCCATATTCAGTACAAGAAAGGATACCAACAACCAAAGACAGCGGATGTAGTGGGAAAGACCTATTGCAAATATCATATGTCGTGGACTCACACCATAAACGATTGCGTTGTGTTCCGTAACAAGCTTCAGAAGATGATAGATGATGGCAATGTAATAGTAGAGGATCCGATGGAAATGAATACCAATCTTTTCCCGCAACCGCACCAAGTCTGAATGGTCGACTTAGGATTTAAAAGTCCTGCCTCTGATACATGTCTGATCACAGGCTGTGAGGATTGTGATAAATTTTTTAGTAGAGTAAAAAAATAGCTTCACGGATTAGGGTCTAAATTCAGGGAGCATTTACACCGACAAATCCCAAACCCAGCTGCAACAGAAGTAAACATTGTGATAAATGGGCAAATGTAGACTTGGGTATAGAAAGAGACACGTTTGGATCCAGAACAAGAGAAGTTACGGGTTGTATCAAATGTCATTTTGAGTGCTTTGAATCAAACTCGGCAACCAAATACGCAGCATTCAGAAAGATGGTAAGTAACTCCTCCAACTAAAAAGCGATTACCTGTGCAGGCAAGATTAGGGAAACCTACCACTACTGACAGGATTAATGAGTAGTGGAGTGACCAAGATCGCCGACCATCAGTATGGCAACGAATTGGAAGGCTTGCGACACAGAATAATGTTTCGCCAAGAGAAGTTAGAACATCATCCGTACATGATAGAGAATGACATCGTGCAACTCATCCAAAATTCCCCAATAAGACATCGACGGGAGCAAAGATGACTAGGACTCAAAAACGTCGGTGGCAACGGTTAATGAATAAGCAAGCCAGGGAAAATCAGAGAAAGAGAAAGTACTTGCAAAGACTGAAGCATCAGTTCATCAAGAAATGCCGATAATTAGGTTTTCAGGATAGGAAGAAAGACGACCACAATTATTTCCCATCGGTAAACATGGTTTACACCTTGCCAAAGTCTTTTTGTTTACAAACGCCTTCATCTGCGACAGCCCTAGTTCCCAAGATTAATGCACACCGGGTTGCGGTTCCAGAGGTAACTTTGTTTAAGACGGAACCATATGATACTATAGTTGGTGGGATTCAGTTACTTTCACAAGAATGAAAGAATCTAGTTATTATGCTATATCAACCGGCTAAGGATGTTGCTTCTCATATCAGGACATTGTACATTTGTGCAGTTATGGATGGAATCCCATTATGGGGGGTATTAGTGGACAATGGCACAGTTATAAATATTATACCGTCAAGGGCATTACATAAGTTAGGTAAGCAATTAGAAGACCTAGTGCCAACTGAAGTTTTTGTGAGTGGGTTCACAGGAGATGTCACAAGTACCAAAGGCAATTTACCATTGCAAGTAGAGGTAGGATCGCAAATGGTCGTATCAGCATTTTTTGTGGTTGACACTAAAGCTTCTTACAATGCTCTCTTCGGACGAGATCAGATTCATTCAGCAAGATGCATTCCTTCTTTTCTAAATCAAGCAATTATTTTGTGGGGAGCAGAAGGTCCAGAAATCATTGCAGCCGATACAAGTCCTTTCGCTGCACAAGCCAATGCTGTGGAAATTTATTACTATGATAGTGAAGTGGGTCTGTATCGGCTTATAGGTATCGACAAGTACGGTCAGCCAAAGCAGGCCACTATGCGTAGAGACATGAACCTTCCTGAATGGAAATTGCGTTGCCAAGAAGTCAACAGGCCGTACACTTATAATGTGTTAAGGCCATTGCCAGCCGCACTAGCTATTGAAGAAGTCTCCAATGAAGACAATTGAAGAGTTAAGAGTTTTGACTTCGGCAGATTTAGATGTTGAGCTCTTAAAAGCGAAAGAGAAACAGAAAGCAATCTAGCGTATATTGCAGTACTTTGACAATAAACGCCTACAGTTTGTTGGGACGAAGTGATCTATGATGTTGATCCGGTTTTTGACAACGATGCGATAGATCTGAATGAATTGGCCACTGCAACACCAGAATTATGTGACAAACTCAATTGTTACTAAAGAGCCAGTCGAAGCAGTAAACTTAGGCTCATCCGGTGAGGAAAAGCCTACTTACATTAGTTCTTCCTTGACTAGTGATGAAAAGACGCAATTGATTGCTTTGCTGCAACAATAATGTGACTGTTTTGCATGGGACTACACGGAGTGCAAGGTTTGGATTGCAGTTTAGTAGAGCACAGTATCCCTTTGAGGAAAGGTTTTAAGCCATTCAAACAACCACCATGGCGATTTTCAGAAAATGTTGTTATCAAAGTTAAGGAAGAAATTGAACGCTTGTTGGCAGTTGATTTCATTGAAGTTGTAGTATATGTGGAATGGTTGTCCAATGTGGTTCTTGTTATCAAGAATAGCAGCAAAATAAAAGTCTGTACAAATTTCTGTAATCTTAGTTTGGCATCACCAAAACATGAGTACCAGATGCCAATTACGGAAGCATTAATTGATAGGTTGACTGGTTTTCAGGTTATGAGTTTTGTAGATGGTAACGATAGATATAATCAAATTTTTATAGCTCCTGCGGATGTTCATAAAACTGCTTTTCGTGCACCAGGAGCTTTAGGAATTTTTCAAAAGAAAATGATGCCATTTGGGTTAAAAAATGCAAGGGCGAGCTATCAAAGAGCAATGAACTGTATTTTCCATGACCTTATTGGGAAAGTTCTGGAGGTGTACATAGATGATGTGGTAGTGAAGTCACATTCCTTTTTGAAACATCTGCAACATTTACATCAATGCTTTGAGTGTATGTGGAAATATCCGTTATAATTGAATCCCTTAAAATGCGCCTTCGTAGTGTCGTCAGGTATATTTCTCGGCTTCCTAGTTCACTCCAGAGGTATTGAGGTGGATGCTGAAAAAGCTAAGGCAATTATTGAGGCTAGACCTCTGCGGATGAAGAAGGAATTACAAAGTTTGATCGGCAAAGTTAATTTTCTCCGCGATTCATCGCCAACTTATCTAAGAAGTTGAAACCATTTCCTCCACTTTAGAAGGTGCAAACAGTCGAAGATTTTGTTTGGAAAGAGGAGCAACAGCAAGCGTTCCAAAACATCAAGCTGGCTTTGTCCACTCCCCCAGTTATGGTTGCACCCATTAAGAGCAAGCCATTAAAGCTTTACTTATCAGCAACAAAGGAATCATTAGGTTGTCTACTAGCTCAAGATGGCCATGATGGATTTGACCGAGCAGTTTACTACTTAAGCCGCATGCTTACTGATACGGAACGCAGGTATCCTCCGATTGAAAAATTATGTTTAGCACTCTATTTTGTTGCGACCAAATTACGCCATTATATGCTTCCTGGTTTAGTTTGTATCATCAGCAAAATAAATCTGGTGCGGTACATGTTACATCGACCAACGATGAGTGTCAGAATTGGAAAATGGGTCTTGGCTTTGATGGAATATCAGTTTCGACATGTACCCTAGTCCGCAGTAAAAGGGCAAGCATAGCAGATTTTTCGGCCGCGCATCCTTCCCTTGATGATGATTGGAATGGTGAATTCCTTGAGTCATTCCAAGTGCACCAAGTTGACAAACACCTATGGACAATACATTTTGATGGATCTAGAAGTTTGCGGCGCAGGAATCGTAGTTACTTCATACTCTTAATCAGGCAGAGTATGAAGGATTGATCCATGCTCTACACAATGGTGCAACTCATGCAAAAGTCATTGGAGATTCTGCTTTAGTAGTTGGACAGATGAAGAAGCTAATGGATAGAAACAACGACATCATGTCCAAGTATGCAACTATCGGCGATGTTGCATCTATGTTCCACCATATTGAATTTTACAATGTTGAGAGAGAATTCAACGGTGACGCCAATGACATGGCGCAGTTAGCTTCGGGATATCTTAAAACGCCACTTAGTCAAGATATTGCTTACGACATCATGGAATTTGACGCTCCGGCATATATTCCATACCCATTAGAAGAGGATTTCTCTATTGCAACCGTTACTACAATAGAGGATCGGCATACACCAACCATAAATTCTTGCAGGAACCAATTCATCATACTCCGCTATCTATACGGAGACAAGCGCCTAACTATGTTCTGTTGCACGGACAATTGTATCGGAAAACAGCATATGAGGTTTTGCTCTGGTGTATAGGAAAGCCAGAATACACGGGTCGATGTTGGAAACACATGAAGGGTTCTGTGGCGCACATCAAGGCAGAAGAAAAATGGCTTGGTTGCTCCGTTGCCATGGTTATTTTTGGCCAACTATGACCCATGATTGTATAAACTTTGCTAAAGGATGTGTAGATTGCCAGAAACATGTAGATATCCCGCATACACATTCAGAGCCAATGCAGTTCATAGTCAAACCGAGGTCATTCCATTGTTGGGCTCTTGATGTTATTGGCATGATACATCCACCATCATCTTCTGGGCACCGATATGTTTTGGTCGCGACAGATTATTTCACTAAATGCGTTGAAGCGGTACCTTGAAGGATGTTGATGAGAAGGTGGTTATATTTTTCCTCAAGAAGCATATCATTCACAGGTTTGGACTCCCTTAAACAATCATTATGGATTAGGCACAATATGTCGTTGGTCAAGAAATGATGCAGTATGCCAAAGATATGGGTTTTACTCTAACACACTCCCCATATTTTGCACAAGGGAATGTTCATGCTAAGTCTACAAATAAAATATTGAATTGAAGCATCCAAAAGACAATCTCTGAGAATCCAAGGCAATGGCATGACATCTTGCGACAAGCGTTATGGGCATATCAAGTGACGCAGTGGGGTAGTACCTAGGCAACTCCATATGAATTAGTTTATGGTCATGACGCCGTTCTACCTATTGAACATCTTTTGCCTTCTCCCAGAATTAATCAACAGTTTCCTTTGGATTCAGCCGACTATGCAATAGCTATGTAGATTGATCAAGATAGGTTGTCAAATAGCCGAAATTCAACAATAGTCAATATCATTCACCAGAAGATAGGAATTATCCGTGCTTGCAACAAGTTTGTTCAACATAAACACTTCAATATCGGTGCCAAAAGTATGGAAAGAAGGTTTGCCTTTGGGTTAAAAAGATCGTGCTTATGGAAAATAGAGCCCTACTTGGGAAGGTCCTTATATCAAAAGGTTCTTATATCATACATTGGCATTTAGGACGTGGGGTGTACATTTTAAAAGACATGGACGGAACAGTTGCAGACAGATCTATAAATGCTAAAGGCATGGGATCAACTCAACAGTGAAGAACAACGCTTGGCGAGGGATTGTCCATAACAGATATCATTAAGTAGCAAAAAATGTTTATTACTAACAAAAGAAAAAAACAGATTGTTTTTTGTGAAGGAACATAGTCGCTGCAAAGTTCAACAATCACACTAAACAAAAAACACCCAAACCAAAGAGGTCTCCAACCAAAGCAGTACTGCAACAAATATTTTTAAGGAGGCGATGCTGGTATGCTCTGCAAAGGCGTAACTTCCAAAGGTTCTTGATCATTTGGTGGAACCTCTTGTAAGGCCCCTTCTGATACAACATTTCTTCTTGCAGTTGAAACTACTTCAGGTTGTTCTGGACGCGCTTGATCCATGGTAGTAGGAGAATTCGAAGCTGTTCCTACAGTCTGCATCGGACGAGTATTGGTGTTCTTCTAGAAATTCTAACTCACCTGGGCTCCTTTCACAACCTATTGTGCATCTTGGTATTTGGAGTGCAGCTTCGTTAATGTTTCAGTCATGTTCCCGTAGTCCCCCAGTGTAACATCAGTATCTGCAATCACAACACCTAAAGTAGATTCCAAGTCTAGTCGTTTGGCCTGCATTTTTTCTAGCTGAGCATTAAGCTCTGCCTCCTCAGCCATTTTCTCTTTGATCTCAGCTTCCAGTTACGCTGCCTAGTCTACCAATTGCTCCGACAGCATTTTGTTATTTTCTTGCAAAGCGTAAGCAGTTTTATATTCTTCAACGTGTGGAACACGGACCTGACACTCAATCTCCTTCTGGGCTGCTTCCGTCGAAATCAAACCAATGGCTGCTGCCATACTGTCATCCACAAGAGAGGTCTGAATTGCAGACAGCAACGTTTTCAACTGGTTATACCTTGTGCCGTACACTTCTTCTGTTGGAAGCTGGAACATGTTAGCAATCTATTGTAGGGCTACACCCAACGGGATGTCAGGAGAACTGGATGCCACATCCACTTTAATGTATGTTGCCGTTTTGTTTCGTTCCAGACAAGCCATTAGAGCTGCCACAGATGGAGGAGATTTCTTTACAGAACCCGGTTGAGTAGATGACCTGGCGGCTCTCAATTTGTTTTGCTCTTGGATCTACCAGTTTCAGACATTGCCTTTATGGCAGCAATGCTTACACCACTTGCAACAGAGCCTTTATCACTTTCTTGACTATCCGATTCCTCATCACTACCATGTACAATCACCAGGTTTTCCTGTGACACAACAACCACATTCAGATTTGATGCTAATTCTAACCTAGTACAATGATAGGGCTGATTGTGATACTTTACCTTGTTGCTGGCTTCACTTGCAGAACGTTTCTGTCCAATTAACCTAGTGGACCGGCGAGTTGTGGTTGGGGCTCTCTTTGTAGAAGTTGGTTTAGCTTCCTCCCCCCCCCCCGCAAAAGTGCGGCCTTCTTGCTTTTCTAAGCGCCGGTTTTCACTTTGGCACCACCTTTGCTCTTCCCTACAAAGACAATATTTAGACACTTATGAGAAGGAGAGCTGCAACAATAAAAATGTCACAAAGGAGGACTAACCTTTTGTTTCTGTTTCTGCTTCACCAACAGCAGCTTTGGGTTTCAGATATTTACCAATGTGAAATGCAGTGTTGATTGCCTCACATCCAGAGGCAAACATGGTACTTGATAGCTCACCCCACCATTATGTGAATCCAGGTGTTGCTTCAAAGCAGAATTTGAAAGGCGTTGTTGGAGAAGTTCTTCCCCGAACAGCCATCAATTCTCTGTGAGCTGTATATTGCACCATGGTCAATTTTTCCCTACCAAGTCTCCCTGTGTTCCGGCAAGATACTTCAAAGTGTGGCACGCTCTGTGCAAACTCGAATTGGCGGGCTACCATATTGGCAGGGTAGTATTCGGCATGCATATCAGCGCCGACGTTTTGAGACTGCAAACTTTTACTACCATAAAAAATATCCCTTGCTGACAGAAGATGGCTCCAAACCGATGTCAAGCCAAACAGACCAGTGTTATTCCATTTACCACTTTCTGTAACTGAATGGCAAATGTCGTCAAAGCTCTTATGCCACCAGTCTTGGCTCAGTTGCCGCACCATCACAACGACGTCTGGGATTGATTCAAACACAATTTTGAACGCTTGCATTCCATTGAAAGTCGGCTTGTTAAATTGTTGCACTCCAAGGCACAGAGGTTCTCCATTCCCAACAGGGAAAATCCCTTCTTGTTTTAAACTAGGGAAATACATGTACAGCCAAAAATGTAACAACCAGGTAGGACCACATAAAGTTGAACCTTGGTTATGTCTAGTTTCATGCAAACAGTGATACAACATGGCCAGAGCAGCTTCAGCCGAATTCATTTGCTCGCCAGCAGTTAATCTACCAGTAAAGTGATACCAATCCATAGTCATTTGAAAAGATTTGCCTGGAAACACATACCTGTTCAACCAAAGAGCCAGAAAGCAAACATGGCATAGGCGACCGAATCTTTCCTTTGTTCTCACTGATAAAGTGGCCATAACTCATTGGTTGACCCACTACTGCTGCAGCTGCATCATCGTCTTTTACATTCCCATCAACCGCAACGGTTACGATAGCAGGCAGACCGGTAATAACACAAACATCCAGCAAGGTGGGTGTCATTGGTCCCCAGGGAAAGCAGAACACATTACTGGTGCCACTCCAGAACCCCAGCACTGCCTCCACAAAATCCCGGCTTTCTCCAAACCCTATGGTGCAAAATTTCAACGAATCGTAAATTCCAGCCATTCTCCAGGTATCTCCATATTTCGGTTCCAATTCCCGGTACAACTGAACAAACGCCTCTTGGGTTTCTGGCTTGTCAGACCATGGACATACCCATATCCTATCAAAGTTATCAAACTTGCAGGGGTTCTCATATTTGTAATAAGCATCATCTGGGTTCAACATCGGGATAAATTCCTTGAGGTTTTCTAGCACCGATGGGAAGTTGGGGCCCAGAGTGAAGTGGCGAGAGGATTGGTTGAACGGTAGCATAACATATTCTTTATATGGCTGTAAGAAATCAATATCTTCTGGTTTTACACCATGGGTTGCAGCTTTGGCCTTGTCATAGGCCATCGGAGTAGCGTCACGGGTTCCAGCCATTTTTTGCCTTAAGAATTGCAACAGCAACAAAAACAAGAAGTGGCTTGGATCGACAAGGGTTTTTTTAGTTTGGTGTGCCAAAATTAAAGTTGTTGGGTAAAGGATTGAATAGGCTGATATGGGATTTTTGCTCTTGGGGAACTGCTACTTTAATATACCTCACTAGAACAGCTTCAAATTTGATAGCGATTTGGAATCGGAAAAGATTTTTTGTTTCCGTTAAGAAGAAGAGAAATTGGTGAAGCCGTTCTATCCTCTTTTCTTTCTCCGTCATCACTTCAGTGAGTTCAAAGCTGGTCAAACCTCGAAAAGCACAGAGTCAGGAAGCCGTTAGCAAACACGCGTTTATCCACACGCACCTTTGCTAGGGGGGACTCCTAGGTCGATCAATTTTTTTTCTTGGACGGGCTTATTGCTGGATCGTCCCATTATCTTGGGCTGAATGGAGAATGCGGCAGTAAGGCAAGCAATTTTCACCCCAAATTTGTTTCCCTCAGGGGGCTTTATGTTGGACCGATTTTAGCAAATCTGGTCCACATGAATTGGGCCGGTCGTAGCAATAATAAATGGAGCAAGGAATTATCAAGCCCGCAGAAAAACTGGAGAAGGAGCGACGGATTGAGAAGTTGAATTGGAGGAGTCATTGACAAATTCCGGCTTGTACTGCAGATGTTGCAAGAGTTTTGAAGAACAGGAATGATGAGAACAAGCTAATCGATTTCTTGATGGGACTGAATTCAAGCTATGAAGCAATAAAAGACCAGATCCTGTTGATTGATCCTCCACCAACTTTGAACCAGGCATATTCCATGTTGTTAAAGGCAGAAAAGAAGTCTAAGAAGGTCATTGGGATTCAGAACTTTGAGAATTCAGCATTTATAGCTAATGCACAAGGGCAATTGCAACAAAACTCTTCATCACAGATGAATTCTCAGGAGCAAAGCATGTATAACTCTGAACTGGCATGTTCTGAAAATTCAGCTTTTATTGCTAGCAATGGAAGCAACAATTTTATCAGGAGAAACAATAACAACTTTGGCAATTCTAGAAATAAGGGAAAACCTTTTATGGAAAGGAATGATACGAGATTCTGTACTCATTGCAAGAGGCCTGGCCATGAGAAGGAGACTTGCTTCAAGATTGTTGGCTATCCAGAGTGGTGGAGGGATTCAGTGCTTAAAAGCCAACACAGGAATATGGTTAATGCTGTGGACATGGATTCACCTTTGGATGTTGCACCTGGATCTTCTGGTACTTTTGAGTATGAGCTTATGGCAAAATAGATTCAGCAACTTCAACAGGAGTTTAACAAATGATGAAATGAAAAGGAGTGATGATGGAACAACCTACAGCCTTTGTGAACTTCGCACACCTGAATGACTTTCAGGTAGCACTACATACTCTAAACTTGTTGCTTATAGTTCATTTGGTGATGATTTGGGATTTTTGGATAGTGGTGCAACAGGCGATGTCATTAAAACCTTAGCCTTATTTTTTTCTTATCAACCTGTAACTGTTAAAACACCTGTTGGCTTACCTGATAGATCTGTACAGTTCGTAGAACAAATTGGAATAGTACCTTTGAATTCTAGAATCTCTTTAAAGGATGCATTATTTGTTCCTAATATCAGTCAGAAAACTAGCTCAAACAGCCAAAATTTATTTTTCATTCTCAGCTGAGTTATGTTTATTGCAGGACCTCATGACTAACAAGGTGCTGGGAGTTGCAATTGTTGTCAGAGCTCTTTATGAACTTAGCAAAACTTCTTTCCATCCAGATGAAATCATGAAGCAGATTCATCTTCATTTTCCATCCATTTTGCTGCATTCTTCAATTGATCATTCCTTGTACTCATGTAATACTATTCAGAATAAAGAGACAGACTGTAATGCCATTTTGCACAATAGATTAGGTCATCCCTCTCAGAATGTACTGTCTTATATGAATTTACCTCTTAATAAATCTCTAAGGAATGATTTTGATTGTGATATATGTCCCTTAGCCAAGCAGCAAAGGTTGTGTTTCCCTGTCAGTACTTCTACTACCTCTCATATTTTTGAGCTTTTACATGTAGATTTGTGGGGACCTTATGGTAATGAGAACTTATCTAAAACTTAGTACTTCATTAATCTTGTTGATGATTATAGTAGGTCTACCTGGACTCAGTTAATCAGGCATAAAAGCCAAGTTACACCACTTCTTGAAACCTTTCTTGTTATGATTAAAAACCAATTCAATGCTTCTGTTAAAACTATCCGCTCAAATAATGGAACTGAGTTTATTAGCCATGATTGTCAAACATTATTCTCCAAGTTTGGCATCCTTCATCAGAAATCTTGTGTTTATTCACCACAACAAAATGGTGTGGTTGAAAAAAAGCACAAACATCTATTTCAGATTGCAAGGGCCTTTATGCTTCAGTTTTTTCTTCCAAAAAAGTTTTGGGGTGATGCTATACTTACAGCTACCTATATTGTCAACAGATTACCTACACCCCTTCTGGATTGGAAAACACTTTATGAACTCTTGTTTTCTATACCTCCTGATCTTACCAATCTCAAAACCTTTGGATGTCTTTGTTATGCAACCATCAATACACCATATAAGGATAAGTTCTCACCTAGAGCATTCAAGGGGATCTTTATTTTCTACCCTACTGGTCAAAAGGGATACAAAATTTACAATTTGCTTGATCACAAAGTTTATATCTCCCGGGATGTAGTTTTCAGAGAAACTACATATCCTTATCAGTCTACTTCTTCTGATACTTCACAAAACATTCCTATTCCTGTGGTTGATTCTAATCCTTATTATCTAGATTATACTTCACAAAACATTCCTATTCCTGTGGTTAATTCTAATCCTTATTATCTAGATTATCCTCAATCTTCTTTAAACATTTGATACTCCCTCTACTTCATCTCAGCCTGATCCTCATCCTGCACCATCTTCCTCTTCATCAGATCCTGTGAATTTAAGAACTAGTAACATAATCAGAAAACCACCTGTCTGGTTAGATAGTTATGAATGTCATCTTAATACTCTCTCCTGGCCTTCTACCTCTCATTTTAATCCTCTTAAAACCTTTCCCTGCATTCAACAACCCTTCCTCCACTCTCATCATATGGCCTTTCTCACTGATATTTTAAAGATTCCAGAACCTCACTCATTTGAACATGCCAGTAAGCATGAGGAGTGGAGACTAGCTATGCAACAGGAACTTGATGCTTTGGAGCATAACCAGACCTAGGAACTCACTACTCTTCCTCTTGGTGAGAAAGCCATCGGCTGCAAGTGGGTATTCAAGGTCAAATACCATCCTGATGGTACTGTGGACAAATACAAAGCCCGTCTAGTAGCTAAGGGTAACACTCAGATTGAGGGAGAAGATTTTTGTGAATCTTTCTCTCCCTTGGCTAAATTGGTGACTGTTAGGGTGGTTATTACTATTGTAGCAGCCAAAAGGTGACCCCTTCATCAACTGGACATCAACAAGGTATTCCTACATGGATACTTGGAAGAGCAGGTATACATAAAGCCGCCTCCTGGATACTCCAAAGCACATTCTACACAGGTCTGCAAGCTTAAAAAATCCTTGTATGGTCTCAAGCAAGCATCACGGCAATGAAATCATGAGTTCACCAAACATATTGGTCTTCATGATTTCCATCAATCTTCTCATGATCATTGCCTCTTCTAGAAGACTGTTGGTCCACATTTCATTATTCGCTTAGTCTATGTAGATGATGTATTGCTCACAAGTTCTTCTGAAGATCTCATCTTTGATACTAAGCAGTTTCTTCATGATCTCTTCACCATCAAGGACATTGGTCCTGCCAAGTACTTCTTGGGTGTAGAGATTGCTAGAGACTCTTCTAGCATCAGTCTCAATCAGCAAAAATATGCTCTAGACATTGTTCCCAGTGTTTGTCTTCTTAACAGCATTCCAGTTCACACTCCATTGCCACCCGGATTGAACTTGCAGGATGACCAAAGTCCTTTTCATGCTAATCCAGCCCAATATCGTCGGTTGATTGGATGTTTACTGCATTTGTGCTTCACCCGACCAGATCTTACACATGCTACTCAGCAACTCAGTCAATTTGTTCACTCACGACGCGAAGTTCACTAGAATGCTGTAGTGCATGTTGTCAGGTACCTCAAGTTCTCTCCTTCTTTGGGTCTGTTCTACTCAGCGCACAATGATCTTCAAGTCAAGGCCTTCTCTGATGCTGACTAGGGACAGTGTTCCACCACCCATTTCTCTACTACTGGACTCTGCATTTTTCTTGGTTCTTGCCTGATTTCCTAGAAAACCAAGAAATAAACTACCGTGTCTGGTTCTTCTTGTGAAGCTGAGTACCAAAGTATGGCGTCCACCGTTTGTGAACTTCTTTGGCTTCAATACATTCTCCATGATTTGCGCATTCCCGTTTCCACTCCAATTCCCTTTGCTTGTGATAATCATGCCGTCATTCACATCATGGAGAATCCCGCCTTTCACGAAGGCACGAAGCATCTGGATATTGATTGCCATGTCGATCGCAATCAGTATAAGCTCGGTTTCATTCAGCCTTACCATGTTGGTACAGCGTCTCAACCTGCTGATGTTTTCACCAAGGTTCTCCCAGCACCTAAGTTCTCTTTTTTGCTCTCCAAACCGAGTCTTCGCGACATTCATCATCCTCAGCCTCAGCTTCAGGGGGGGATCAACGAGTTTATGCCTCAATTGATAACGGTTGAGGGCTCTCCACAACAAGATGATTCGAGTCAACCCACACTGGAGGATGTTGACGTGGATGACAGAATTATGGGGCAAATATTTGGGGTTACATGACTTGTACATAATTGACAAAATGTAAATATGTTTAGCCTTGGAATGTTGTACATAGAGCATTAAGACTTGTACATATAGAAGTAGAATTACTATGTAGTCCCTCAGTAAATAAGCATAATTATTATGCCAATGATTAGTATAAATAGGGAATATCTGTACAGA